TATAGATCTTCCAAATTTTGACACATTTCCATATACAATATAAAAAAAATCCACATTTGTTAATATCACTGGCAGTCTCATCAGAGAATTCTTTAAGTTTTGGGAAACTGACAGGTTCACAGTAGCAAATATAAGCTTTCCAACATAATGACCTTAACTTGAAAGCTTAAATTTTATCATCAGTAACAAATATTGCCAGACATTTTCTTTGAATTGACAGGCTCACATTGTTCATGAAAATGTCTACCAGATAGCATGTCTGAATAATAGCTGTACTTTCAAGTAAAAATGCTATTCCACAAAAGGTAGATATTCGGTCCTCACCTCAAATAATTACACCAGCACTTTTCTTCACAAAATACATTATACTCTAGTGTAACAGAAGTGCTTTATGTGTACTTCTTTAATCATCACACAGAGTATTGAAAACATGTGTGCTCAAGGGTGGAGCTCTAACAAAATTAACGGGTATTTTTCCCTGCTCTATCAAGAACATTCTTAAGTGAAATTTATTTTCCCGAGAGTATTCGGCAGTTGGAAATGCAGTGATTACTATTATAGATTAGTGCCAGTGCTTTGACTTGTTGATAATATGCCAGCATTTTACCCACTGTGTTAATTATATTTTTTACTCTCTATATTTTATAATGTGTCGACATCTTTGGGGGCCCTTGCTGGCTAGGGAGAGACTGCCCCTCCCAGAGCTAGCTAATTCCTAGAGACAGTAAGCAACTTGTTGGTGAGCACACCTTTCATATACAAACAAGCCAATCCCAAGACCATACCCTCAACCATCTCCTTTATCTAACTCACACGCACCAAGCCAATATGTCCCCTTCCCTGAGTCACCCAGGGCCAGGTACCAGACAACTGGAAACCACCCCTGAAACCCATAGGCTGCCAGCACTATTCAAACTAGCCAATCTTACCCTGTTTCCTCTGCCCTTTCCCTGAAAGCAAGCCCCAGTAAAGGCTCTGGCCTAGGCTTTCTCCTCACTCCTTTCTGCCTCCTGTTTTTCATCTCTTTCTTTAAGATTTCAGTCCTCAATCTTTCTTCTTTTGTTATAGCCTCCAATTTATGGGCATTTTAAAAAATTTCAGATGTACATCATTCTATTTTGATTTCTGTATAGATTGCATCATGTTCACCGCCCAAAGACTAATTACCATCCATCACCACACACATGTGCCTAATCACCCTTTTTGCCCTCCTCTCTCCTCCCTTCCCCTCTGGTAACCACTAATCCAATCTCTGTCTCTATGTGTTTGTTTGTTGTTTTTACCTTCTCTTTATGAGTGAGATCTGTAGGTATTCTTAAAGCCATCCAAAAAATAAAAGGGAAATCATTGTCTAATTGCTATGTTCCTGTTAGTTCTCATTTTCTTTCTTTCCCTGTGCAATGCCTTATACTTGCTCCCTGCACTCAGTCTCATATCCCATTCTCTGAGACTTGCCATCAGATTTCAAAATCCATACGCCTTGGACCAAAGTGATCATTTCAGTATTGCCATTTCTTTCCAATAAATCTCTATGTTTCATATCATAGTGCTCAGATTCCTGCTATCTACCTGCCTTGATTTAGGTCAAAAACACAAACTCCTCCTCATCCTGTTTCCCTGAGTGCCTTTTCACATCTTGGTTGCTTTTCTTCCCTTTAGCCTGGGAAAATAAATATTTGTTGAATAAATGGATTTTATTTCAGTAGGCTGTCCTCAATGCCCTTAAAAAATCTTTCTTCATCCTCAGTCCTTGTCTTTATAAAAGTCCTGTAAGCTATAATAATCTGATCCATTCTCAAGTTGTGATTTTCTTGTTATATTTCAAATAGACACTTTCAGCCCATTTCTCACTTGAACTCTAGTGGTTTATTTTAATCTGCCTACAGCAATACAACAATCAGTTGTCTCAGCCTTTTGGTTATTGATATATCAGGAATAACAGTCATTATCTTTTCTTTATCCTTACTTGTTTCTATATCCTTTTGTTCCCATAATCAGCCCCTTGTAGTATCAGATTGATTCCGTCATCTGTTATACTTTTGTAATGATTTCTCCACAATTTGTGTTATTTTGTTTCACTCTGCGAAAATCTTTACATGCTCTCATATTCTCATTTGCCACTGACATCTTCCAAAATGAAAGCCATGTTATTTCAGGTGTGGACTGCTGTAATTACTATTTGGATTTGCTGTGATTTTTCACTAGTTCTTTTAGTTTATATTGTCAATATGCTAAAAAGATATCACTTATTATATGAAATTAAATCCCTTCTTTTTCAAGGGCTGACAGAATAATATCCCATCTGGTCATTCCAAATGTCTCTCTCTCTGTGACTGAGAATTCTTGCTAATCTCTGTTTGTTCTAGTCTCCCAAATGTACTCCATACAATTGATTTTATTCCTTACAACTGGACCTTTCATTAAATACAGTGGCTATATGCCCATAAGGATACTTGGAAAGTTAGCCAACTACAAAGCTAGATGGTACAGTGGTACACACAAGACCACCCTCATTTCTGATGCCAACTGTAAGTTCAGGGGTCCCAAGACTACTGTTGGGATCAGTAATTTACCAGAAGGACTCACAGAACTTACTGAAAGCTGTATTACTCACAGCTTTAGAGAGGAAGAATACAGGTCAAAATCAAGCCAAGCATGAAGGGCAGAGTCCAGGAAACTACCAAACACAGAGCTTCTAGTAGTCCTCTCTCTGTGGAGTCATGGATAGCACTACTTTGCTGGCATGACAATACATACAGAATATTGACAACCAGGGAGGCTTCACTTGAGCCTAGTGTCCAGAGTTTATAATGGGGCTCTATCACATAAACATGATTGGCTGCCCATGTGGCTGATCTCAGTTTCCAGCCCTGTAAGCGGGGGGGGGGGGGGGGCAGTATCAAGCTGATACTGTATAGCCCCCACACTAAATCACATTGTTACTTTCTGGCTGCCCAAAGGCTCCCAGGCAAACAAAGACACTGTCAGGCATGACATTCCAAAGACTTAGAGCTTATCTCCCAGAAGCCAAAAGCAAATGTCAGACTTTAGTGGGCAAGGTTGTATTCTTTACCACACAATACTACATATCCTTTAGTTACAAGATCAAGTTTCACTTCCTCCATGAAATGTTCCTTAACTACTCCAGACCACATAAATTCCTTTTTTTCTGCATTCACTTTCTACTTATTGTCTATAACATGCAAACAGACATATCCTCTGATGTGAGCTAATAATTTGATACCTAATTCAACATTGTTTTATCTGAGACTTCTTTCCCTATCTGATTAGCAATTCCTCCAAAATAAGTTCCTCTCTTTTACTTTTCCTAATTGTAGCTTGTAAGAGTCTAGATATTCAATAGTTACCTGACTGTCTGTGGTACCATGAAAGCTAAACATCTTTCACATCCAGTCAGAAATCATGTAATGGTAAATTCTTTTTAGATATACATGCCAAAATCACATCCCTTCACCTCAGATAACAGTGTGTTAATGTATACTCAGAAGGTTTCAAAAAAGATAACCAATACAGTATTGACTTCTAAGAGCATAAGTTTTAGTTGAGAAGGCAATATTTTCAAATTGAACATTTTGCATAGAATATTCATATTAAAATAGCAGGTTATTGAAAGATTTCTTGAAATGAATGGTCCAGACTTCTAATTTCAGACAAATTAGACATTGAAGTGTAGAAAGAATATGTAAAGGCTTTTGGATAAATTGGAGCATGTTCCTGAAGATGGTTGAGATTCTCAGGAAGGCAGTGTAACTCCAATTACCAATACAGATTAGTTTCACATGTTCTAGAACTGCACATAAGTGTAATTGTATAATATGTACTCTTTTGCATAAAGCCTCCCTCTGAAAAATGTTTGCAATTCATCCCTTTTGTCATTGTGTATCAGTACGTTTTTTCCTTTTTATTGATGAGTAGTGTTCCATTGTATAAATACATGACCCAATATTACCTGCTTACCTTTTGACAGATAATTGGGCCATTTCCAGTTTAGGGCTACTGTAAATAAGATGCAAGTCAAGAGTAAGATGAATTCATCTTTAAAATTGCCCCACCAGATATGGGGTGGTAGTAAGGTATCAATAGTAAGATATAGCCAAGAATTTATAGGAAAAATAATAGTTAAATTCAATCATTACTATACACATACATTGAAGAATCCAGTCCTTCACAGCTTTGATAGGGAATCGCAGAGTTAAGTTACCTTACTACATTCAGAGGAAGACTTGAACCCATCCTTCCCTAAAACTGAAAAGAGAATTTAGTTATTGACCTTCTCTGGAAGAATAAATTGATGGTAGCAGCACTCAGAATACAATAGTGATTATATTCATGTTGTAAGTATGCTTTGTCCTCTGGTTTATTTTACAGTTCTGAATGGAAATGTTTTCCTAATTCTTCCCTTTCAAGAGAAAATAAATCATAGTTATGTGGAGAGTGAGGGCCTACATTATAGACCAGTGTTTCTGTCAACACTAGGAAATGAGGGCTTGAGAAAGTTCATTTGCCATGGATGGGCTAAATGCAAATGAGGAAGAAACAAATGGAAGCATTTTATAACATTTATTTAGGCATGAGGGAATAAACATTTAGGCTTTCATCTCTACCTGAACAGTTTTCCTTGCTTACTATTTAGTACCCTTGATAGGCTTATTCCGTTATTTCTGAATCTACCCATTCCAAAAACAATCCTACTTTCATCATCCTTTGCTTGTCCTTGTGTTTATCACACCTCTTGATGTAGCTTATATTTACAACATGCCAAAGATATGAGTGTTGTTTGCTTATGCCAATTTTTCTTCATTTTAACAGTGTAGCAGGATTTGTGTTTATGTTCTGTGCATTTTCCCTACCGAGAGGTAATTTATTTTGGCTTTTATATAGATGACAATAGTGAGACAGACAGTCCCACCATGGGTGGTTTGTAAATCCATAACATATTTGTGAAGATTTACAGTGTTGTTAATTGTATTCTTTTCTAGAAGAAGATGGGAAAGCTGAAGATGTTTTAGTGAAGTTCAGAGAATACCAAGACAGGCATTCTAGATCAGTTTTCATCAACCACAAAAGACTAATAAAGGAAAGAAGTAATATTTTGGGGAAAACACTTACTGTAGGCAAGAACCATATTATTTCCAAAACAACACTACGTGAATACAAACCTGATGGAAAGGTTTTGAAAAATATTTCAGAATTAGTCTATAGAAATATAAGCCCTGTAAGAGAGAAGTTTGGTGACAGTAATGGATGGGAGAAGTCACTCCTCAATGCTAAGCATGAGAAAATTCATACTGCAGTGAATATCTATAAACAAACAGAAAGAAGTCTGAGTAGTAAACAAGAGCTTATTCAGCATCAGAAGCTTCAAACTCCAGAGCAATCATTTGAACATAATGACTATGAAAAATCCTTCTTTATGAAAGGAATGTTATTTACACATACTAGAGCTCACAGAGGAGAAAAACCCTTCGAATACAATAAAGATGGAATAGCCTTCATTGAAAAGTCAAACCTCAGTGTCCATCCACAAAATCTTATGGAGAAGAAGCCCCATGCATATAGCAAATATGGGAAATTCCTCTGCAGGAAGTCAATTTTTATTATGCATCAGAAATCTCAAACAGAAGAGAAACCATTTCAGTGTCCTTACTGTGGGAATAGCTTTAGAAGGAAGTCATATCTCATTGAACATCAGCGAATTCACACAGGTGAAAAACCTTATGTTTGCAATCAATGTGGAAAAGCCTTCCGTCAAAAGACAGCCCTCACTCTTCATGAGAAAACACATATAGAAGGGAAACCCTACATTTGTATGGATTGTGGGAAGTCCTTCCGCCAGAAGGCAACCCTTACTAGACATCACAAAACACATACAGGGGAGAAAGCCTATGAATGTACTCAGTGTGGAAGTGCTTTTAGAAAGAAGTCATACCTCATTGATCATCAGAGAACTCACACAGGAGAGAAACCATATCAATGTAATGAATGTGGGAAGGCATTTATCCAGAAGACAACCCTCACCGTACATCAGAGAACTCACACAGGAGAGAAACCCTATATTTGTAATGAATGTGGGAAGTCCTTCTGCCAAAAGACAACCCTCACTCTCCATCAAAGAATTCACACAGGGGAAAAACCTTATATTTGTAATGAATGTGGGAAGTCCTTCCGCCAGAAGGCAATCCTCACTGTTCATCAGAGAATACATACAGGAGAAAAATCCAATGGATGTTCTCAGTGTGGGAAAGCCTTTAGTAGGAAATCAAACCTCATTCGCCATCAGAAAACTCACACAGGAGAGAAACCATATGAATGCAAAAACTGTGGGAAGTTCTTCAGTTGTAAGTCAAACCTCATTGTCCATCAGAAAATTCACAAGGTAGAAACCATGGGAATTCAGTAAAGGATGTGACTTTTTTTGTAAAAACTTTTAAAGTCATAGTAAACCCTGTACATGATGTTGCTTGCAAGTCTAATAGTATTCAACAGTTTAAGGTACTATACCACATATTTACCTACTGTTTGCTAGCCTATAAAACACACACGAAAATTTACTAGACAGATGAAATGACAAAAGTCATTGAAAATACAAGCCCCAATTTTGTATTAGATTCAGCAGACATAAACTTCCTCTGTCAAGTTGCTACAAACATTTAAAATTGCTTATTTTCATTTTCAATGCCTACCTTCTTGTGAACCAGTAATAAACAGTTGGCTGACTGGCATTAGTCCAGGGACCACACTGTGAGAAGTGCTTTAAAAGAAAGGAGGTGTGAACTGTATTTCTTATTGCAAATATGGAATAAAAATTAGTTGTTACCTCCTCAAAGTTAACCACAGGTCTGACTTCTAACATTATAAATTAGTTTTTGCATATTATAAACCTTTATATAAATTGGATTATACATCATATATTCTTTCATATATGGCTTGTTTCATTCATAATTATGTCTCCAAAACTCATCATTAGTGCATGTGGCGGAAGTTAATTTATTTTCATTCTGTATAGAATTCCGTTATATGATTATATCACAATTTATCCAATTTACTATTAATGGACTTTTTCATTGTTTACAGCTTAGGGTCATAATAAATAATGCTTCTGTGAACATATTTGTTTTTTGATGTACATATGTTCATTTCTCTTGTGTATATACTTTCTGGAATTGCTGGTTCTGGGGTATATGTGTGTTCAGTCAGTTTAGGTGGATACTGCCAAACAACTCAGAACTTTCACAGCATGAGATAATTCACTCTGAAGGGAAACAACTGAATATTATCAATATGGTGATGGTTCAAACCAGAGAATTCATGGTAGAGGGAAATTCTATGCATGTGAAAACTGGGAATCCAAATACAATGCATGTACAAAGGCTTTTAGCCACAGCCCAAATCTTAATATAATACCAGACAAATGTAATAATTGTGAGATTGCCTCTAGCTGCAGTAATGCCTTATTTGAAATAAAAAAGTCATAGTAGAGAAAGGGAGGCATCCAGCATCTTCCTTCCTCAACATTAGAGAATTCTAACTAGAGAAAAACCCTATGAGTATAATAAAGGGGGCAGGAGATAACATTTACCCATGGCCTATATCTTACTGGTCATATAAAAATGATGAATATGGAAAAGCTTATAGCCATAGCTCAAATCTTACACAACACAAGGGAATTAACATTGGATGGGAACTCTTCAAATGAAATAACTGTAAGGATGACTTTAGCCATAACTCACTCCTTATGCAACATCAAAAAATTCATACTAAAGGAAGATTAAAAAGGGAACAGATGAGGCTTGGAACTCTAACTGTGGGGAAAGCTGCTTCCATGAAAGGAGTCCAGTCATACTGAGATCATAATGCTAGAAAGTCTGTGTGTAGGCATCCTGGTCAATAGCTCTAGCTAAGCTCGCAGCCATCATCTGTATCCCAGTATCATCTGCTAATATATGAATGAGCCATCTTGGACATCCAGTCAAGTCTTCAGATGACTGTAGCTGACTGACATCCAACTGGAACCACATCAGAGACCCCAAGCAGGAACTCAACTGAGGCCTTCTCAAATTCCTGACCCCCAAAATGGTTACATTTTTAAAGTTAAATTTGATTGATTAAAAGAAAGGGAAAATAATGTTAGTATCTATTTATATTATAAAAATAAAGGTACGAACATTTGGATTCCAGAGTTGAGCAAAAGTGTGGTGACTACTAGGTGATTTTTGCATGAACAAAAACTGGCCCTGAAATACAGCTGAAGATTTGGCTGTATTTTTGGTTTACAATTACATACCTAAATAACTGCTCAATGAGTGTTCCATATACATCTATTCTTTCTCATTTTCTGGCTCTAAATTATACTGATCAACTTGGTTAGCTTACCTATGCAAATGTATACTTCACAATTTTGCAAAAATGAAAGTAGCCCCAAAGACCTGCTGTAGATAATGCAGAGGGAAGCAAGTCTGTCCTTGAAAGATCCCATGCACAGTCATTTCCATGAGGTTCCATGAACTGAGGTGCAGACAGAAATCAAGATACAGAATCCAATGAAGAAAAGTACAACCATGTCCTTGTAGGAGGTACTTTTGAATCCTTTGAAGAAAGTCTAAGTGATTTTTTTCTTCCTAACATCTGTCCATGTAGAAGCTGCTTCTCACAAAAATTAGGTCCAAAAGTTTGTATTTTGGTATGAAAGAGGATTGGGCTATATTCCAGACTCCTGTATGAAGATTTCTTTTGAAGAAGTTGGGAATGTTTCTTTTCATTAGTTTTTATGGATCTTTATTTTATGGATTGATAAATATATGAAATGAGGACTTTTATCTCATTGATCTATTGGTCAATGACATTTGGGCAGCTCTGAAGAGTGAACATGGTTTTGGAATCCAAGTCCATTTATTCCTAAATATATACAAGAGTATAGGAATTGTGTTCCTATGCAATTTTTATTTTGTATATGAATATGCAAATTCATATTTTTTTAGACCTAACTGCAAGGTCATAAACAAAAGGGAGTTAAAAAGTGCAAAGATTTCATCAGTTCAAAAGGACTAACAAGACTCCACAGAGCATATTCATGTAATGCTTTTATTTGAAAGCAAAGACTGTGGCTCACCGAGAAAAAGAAAGGGTAGGTAAGCATTGGGGGGGTCTGAGAATCATCCAGATGCAAGCTCCTGTCCTTACTGACACACAGACTGCACTCTGTCTCCAAACTAAACCACTGAAATCTGTGTGAATCTTGGCTTTGGGAGAGCTCAAGGCAGAAGTTCCCTGCAAGGACCTTTATGCCACTCCATTCACTGGTGGCATAGTCCATCTCTGCTATCTTATCATTTATGTGAGTAAACAGATTGGCTCTTGGGGTCTCCAGGGAAGTTTTGGATTTTAAACAGCACCTGATAGATCCCCCTGCCCTTATCTCAATCATGAGTCAATGCCAGACATCCAAGCATCATGGAGATAATGTTAGAGCTTTTCCATTCCAATTGTAACCCAACTCCATCCTACAAACTTGGTTCCTACATCTCCTATGAACTTTCTGATAATGTGTGTATGTAAACAAGCATGATGCCTCACTTCCTAGTTCCCCAGTATCAGATTGTACACAGTAAATCTCAAAACTGAAACTTTCTTGCCAGGTAATGCTTGACTCTCTTCGCTCAATTTGTGGTCCAGCAGTAGAGCCAGCTTGCCATGCTCTGCCTCATAAACAATATGCAACAGCAAAAAACACAGGCATCAACCTTGGTCTCTAGCATTCACCTGGGATATTCTACAATTTGAGATGTTCATCACTTTATAATCTAGGGCTTTTAAAAACCCTAAATGTAGTGTCATACCAAGCACTGATGAGGATGTGGAACAACTGGAACTCTCATACATTGCTAATGGGAATGCAAAATGGTAAAGCCACTCTGGAAAACAATTTGACAGTTTCTTAAAAAGTTAAACATACACTTCCCATATGACCCAGCAATCCCAATTCTAGACATTTCTCCTAGAGAAATGAAAACTTATGTTCACACAGAAAAACTATATATGGGTGTCTATAGTATCATTATTTATAACCACTAAAAACTGGAAACAACCCAAATGTTCTTCAGTGGATGAATGGATACACCATGGTACATCCACAGAATGGAATAATCAACAGTAAAAATAATGAACTATTTATACATACAACAATATTGATGAACCTCAAATACATTATGCTAAAGGAAAGAAACCAGTGTCAAAAAGTCACATACTGTATGATACCACTTATATGACATTCTGGAAAAGGGAAAAATAAAGGACAGAGAACAAATCAGTTACCCCAGGGGTTAGGGGTAGAGGAAGTGTCTGAATAGAAAGGGGATGCATGAGGGAATTCTTTGAGGTGTTGAAATTGTTTTGTATACTGTTTGTGGTCATAAATACAAAAATCTATGCATGTGTAAAAAGATCATAGAACTGGACACACAAAAAAAACAGTGAATTGGAGTAGTGACATCAGCAAGAATAGGAGGGATAGGAGTTTGCAGCACTCATCCTTTCATAGAAACATCAATTTAAATAACCATCTACACATGAAAATTTCTACACATGTAAATTACCTTTACAAGAGCTACTAAATCCAAGCGAGAGGTCACAGCACTTGGGTGGAGCTCAGAAATAAAAGTCACATTGAAGAGGATAAAAAGGACAATTTCACACTGCCTGCATCACCCCTTCCCCAAGCCCATGCAGTGAACCATGGAGAGACATACACTGTGTGAAGGAAGGAGAGTGAAGTAAGTACCCAACTTTGCTATGGACCCCAGTACCAGGCTCCCCCAGTGAACCAAGTCTCCAGGCCTGCCCCAGTGCCAGGCCAGCCCCTGGGACCCAGGCTCAAGGTCCACCACTGTGACTCAGGATCCAGGCCTGCCCCTGTGGACCTAAACACCTGGCTTCAGGCTGGCCACCACCAACACAGGCTTCAGGCCCACCCCAGCACCATGCCGGCCTCTGAAAACCCAGGTACTAGGCTGGCACCCATGGACCCAGGCTCTAAGCCTGCTCCAGAGCCAGGCCAGCCTCCACAACCCCAGGCTCCAGGCCCACTCCTGAAGAACTAGGCTCCAGGCCTACCTTCATGGGTCTAGGCACCAGTCTTTCCCCAGTGGACCTCAGCACCAGGCTGGCCTCCATGGACTCGTGACCAGGTCCATCCTCATGGACCCAGACAAGGCCAATCCAGCACCAAGGCTGGCTCCTGCAGACTCAGGTTTAAGCCCTGCCTCTTCAGCCCCAGGCACAAGGCCCCACCCACCTGCTGATCCAGGCACCAGGTCAGCCTGCCTGAGGGCTCCAGGAGCAAGCCCACTTCTGGACCCCACCAGCTGATCTGCCCAGAATCCCTGGACAGGCTAACTTGTGAAGGGCTTTCACTACTGAAGAAGAGGTTCCTCTTCCTCAAATGGCCAACACAAGGCCAAAAGGATCATTAATAATCAGGAAAACATGACACCACCAGAGGAACAAAATAAACACCAGTAACGAACTCAAAAGAAATAGAGATCTGCAAACTGCCTAAGAATTCAAAATAATCGTCTTAAAGAAAGTCAGTGAGCTACAAGAAAACACAGATAACTAAACAAAGTCATGAAACCATACATGAACAAAATGAAATAGAATGAAGAGCTAGAAAACCATAAAAAAGAACCAAACAGAAATTCTGGAGCTGAAAAACACTATGACTAAATTGAAAATTTCCATACAGTGCTTCAATAGGAGACTTGATCAAGCAGAAGAAAGAATCACTGAGCTGTAAGACTTGTCATTCATTTGAAATTAGTCAGAGGACAAAATGATAAAGAGTGAAGAAAGCCTACAGGAATTATGTGGCAGCATGAAGGGTATCAATATATGCATTGTGGGAGTCCCAAAAGAAGCAGAGAAAGAAAAAGGGGCAGAAAGATTATTTAAAGAAATAATGACAGAAAATTCCCTAATCCGAAGAGAGAAGTGAACATCAACATTCATGCAGCCCAAATAACCCAAAATAGATAAAACATAAGGAGATCTTCACTGAAGCACATTATAATCAGGTTTTCAAAGGCCAAAGACAGAGAATTTTGAAAGCAGCAATA